ATTTTACATGTGGCCTGAGAAAATCATGTCTATTATTTTGGTTTGTGAGATCGGAGATTGTGCTATGCACACATGCAAACATTCAGGAGGACACAAACTTGTTGTGAACACTGCCCCTTGACTTTTATTAATAAAATAGCTTAGATACTGAATTGCTACATATTCATCAGCAAGGAGAGGGTAAAATCACGGTTTAAGTAACTCGAATTCAAATAAATGTGATCTTACCACACTATTTAATCTGTCTGATCTGAAGCGGGCAGAATACTGAGCTAACGAGCCGCAGCTTCGCGTCAGTCTTGCATTAAAATAGTTTAAAGCCGTGTATTCGCTATTTAGCAGCAGTTTTTTCGGCAATATTTAAATGACACCCTGGTCATTCTTGGTGTACCCCAAAAAAAGTCCCACACTATCGACTATTCAGTCATTTCTCTGGTGGAAATAAAGGATCGCTGTTTGGTTCCTCTGTCATAGTTCATCTAGTGTGTGTAGTAGCCTCCGTGTCTCTGATAAGCACAGCATTTTAAGATGGTGCACCGCTAGTGTAACTTTGTTTTAGTTTTGCGCAAGTTGCAACTGTTCCGTTCTGTGCAACAGAAACACTCGGTGTAGCGCAGCCTTTACGATTAATTAACTGTGACATTTTTAAGCGCGGTTAATTGTGAAACCGGTTAATCTCTGCATCCCTACTTGAAATAAACATTAAACTGAAATAAAATATTAAAAACCTTAAATGTATTTTTTGCAGCATTTCTCATTTTCATTTAGTTTAACTCGTTTTAAAATAACTAAATCTGATATAAAAATTAATTAAAAAAACTATACAGACATAATGTAACAGATCGGCCAGGCTCCGCCACCATCCAATCACAACGATCTCTATCACTGGAGTACTGAGCACCTGCACCTGTCACCAATCAAGCACCTCATCAACCAGCCTGTATAAAAGCACACACACCTCAGACACCCTCATTGGCCGATCTCGTATACACGTAGAGGACTCTCTTGACTTTGCTACTGCTTCCATTTGTATACTTACCTGCATTACTTACCGCCGGTGTTCCTCATCTCCAAGTGTCTCCTGTTCCTCCTAGTTCCCGGATAGCTGAGGTGTGTGCTCCTCCTGTGCAGTGTTGCCAATTTAGCTACTTTGTAGCTAGATTTAACGACTTCCCCGCCCCTTTTGAGACTTTTTTTTCCAAAAGTTTAGGGACAAATATAGCAACTTCTTGGACAAACCTTATCTAAGTTCTCATCTTGCCCACTGATCTACGTTCATCTTTATATAGATCAGTGAATTTGCCATTGTGATGTCATCTAGTGACATTTAGCTACCAGTTTTAGCTACTTTCAATTGAAAGCAGTTGGCAACACTGCTCCTGTGTGCATTCCAGCTCGTGTAAAGGCAAAGACTCTGATTGTTCCCCTCATCATATCCTTTGAACTGTCCTACGAACTATTCACTCACCATACCATCATCTGGATCCTACACCCGTACTCTCTGTGACCTTAATAAACTGTATTGTATATACAAACCTGTTGTGTCAGACCTCTTCCGTTACACATAAATAAAAAACATAAAATATAAACACAGATAAAAAAAAAAAAAAAGCTATAATAGTATCTCAATGACACTAACTGGTATAAAGATCATAGATATAGACAATTTTGACTAGACATAAAAAAAAAAAAAAGGTTTAAAAGATGAAAACACTTTTTTTCACTAAAACGACTAATTAAAATGAAAACCGAAAATTCAAAAAAAAAATGTAATAGTTGACTTTAAAAGTAAAATAAATAATTTTATCTTCCAATAAATAAAATCACCTCTCTATCAGTGTCTCCAGGCTCACCATCATGCCAAGCTCATTTTTCATGGTGTTGATGTTGCGGGGTGATTCAGCCAGGTACCGCAAAGTCTGAGGAGACACAAGCCTTAAGAAGTCAGTACAAGAAACATACAAAGCATTAAACAATTTATTATCACAACTGGCTCTTTATCAGTTTAACAAGAATTTTTGCAATGACAAATCAGGTCTGGGTGTACCTGGAGGGTGGCAAAGAGCACTTTAGGGTCTTTGTGGTCGAGGAACAGCACTAGTCCTGGAAGGCAACCCTGGTCCTGAACAATCGCCTCCCGATTCTGTGGTTCAGATGCCAGGTCCCGCAGCTGTGTAACTACTGATAATGCGTCCATCATTTTTGTGGATATCTTAAACAAAAAAGGATATGAAAACTAATTAGTTGAATCATATCTGATTGCACAGATTCACTTTTAAAACTAAACATGATCCAATCAAGATACAATACTTTAATTTATTCAAAACTATATCTCTTGGTTTTCCCACTGGACACTGTTATGATCATTATGTATATGAGACAGAGCAATTTTTAATAGTACATTAATAATAGGTCCTTTAAATAGTATATGTCCTAAATAATATAGTATTTGTAGGAGTATTATGGTTCGTCTTCGTTTTATGAAACTTTGACACAACATCTTTCAAAGAGAGCAACATCTCCTGTCATGTGACTGTAAGAATTACAGAACCTCAGACACTTTGATCTTCTGAGACAGACAATACACACACAGTGCATTAACATACAGACATCTGTCTCCACATCTCACTTAGAGAAAATGCGTTTGCGCGCTGAAAAGACCGAACACGCAAGAAACCTTCATCCACCACTGGATACCTTCCTTGGACCAAGTGTGTGGACCTTACATGATCATTTACATCAGTCACGTAAATGTCCGCCGAAAACCAAGACACATACATTTAGAATTATATAAAAAATACACATACTTTTCAAAAGTACATTTTGGACACTAATATTACTGGTGAAACTAAATGAGTTAACAGAAAACAATTAATTACAGCACAAAAGCTGAAGACACTAACAACCTTCCTTCTTCTACTTCCTTCCATCACCACCTCAGTCACACCCCAGTGTTGCCACCGCCGGGAAAACCCCGATTTCCACTAACAACCTTGAGACAATCAGTTCCTTATACAGTAATTTAGTAGTCTGTTAGCATGAAAGCTAACGTACATCGCTGGAATTCAGATTTGAGTTTAATGTAAATGTACATTCCTGTAATTGAGCGAATTCATTTTCACCTTATACATCATTCCTAAAAACCTACTTCTTGTAATATGTTAATTAAATTATAAAATTACAATGTACTACTCACCACCACCGTTACTTTATAACAGCGCACAACACACTCGAAATACAAAACTTCCCACTGCTTCTGTTTAAACAAAATGATTGGTTGAAGGCCCCTGATGACGTTCCTAAATCCTTCAAGCCGATTGGCTACATGCGCCAGCCCTTCTCTCCGGACCAATCACAAACGCTCTCACGCAACGAGCTTTATTTGAGTTTACCTGCACGGAAAGCGTGATACGAGGAAGAGGTAAAGTGACAAATACGCATAAAATAAATCGACATTGTATGTAGAAGCTCAATTTTGTAATAATACAATGAATAGGTGTTTAAATTAAGAGCAGATTAACGCATGGATTTGAAATACGTGCGTGTTCTCACGAACCCGGCGATAGGATATTAACGTTACTGGCTGATGCCGGAGATAGTCTTTGTTGATGCTGATAGTTAATTACTGTTGTGGTTAATTACGCCTCTCTCGCATTGATGCTAATAGTTTTTCCTCCGTGTTTAAAATTTAACCTTGCACATTTAAACGGCGCTTTTGTTACAGAATTGAATGGAATGCATCTGATTTGATCCCTCAGGTCACGTGGAGAAGTTTGGTGCAGTGTGTTGTTGGCTCATCTGTCAGCTGAAATCCAGCGTGGAAGCACACAGGAATACTGTCAATGTCTTTGCTGGAGGACATCGTTGACCTGCTGAGATGTGTCCTGGAATACTTTGGAGTGCCACCTGACATGGTAAAGTGAAAATTAATTTAGTATGCAAATATATTTGCATATATTATTAAAACAAAAAACATAGTTTTACATGCTGGTTTACAGTATGGTTGTAATTGCGACTTTTTAACAGTACATCTTTGTGAATTCTGTGTTGCTGCAGTTGGTTCCAGTATGGGACAGTACATATTGTGGACAATACCGAAGCATAGTCCGTATGATTGGGACAAACCTTCCCCTCTCTCCTCAGCCTCGGCTGCGGTTTCAGGTAACCATGTATTCTGTTGTTTGTTATTTGTACTCAGTAATTTTTTTTCTTTTGATTTTGAGTACTTTTGAGAAATATTACTAAAATGATATACACAACAGTTTTTAGTTTTATGTATGTACTCATAGTATTTATTCATATTTTATTTTCATTTTTCAGACCGATGAGCTTTGTAAAAATCGACGCGTTTCAGAAAGGCGGGGCATAGAGGAGAAACAATAATGTACAGTATGTGGAAAATAATGTGTTTTTTGAACCTTAAACCGCATAAACACATTTCATTACACCAAATACACAAAATAATGTTCTTTTTAGCAACATCATATGACCCCTTTAATATAGGTTGTAGTAATTTTGTTCTTTTTCTTCCTTTTTTTAGTTTAGTAAGTTTTCTAAAAAAAAAAAAAAGTCATTAAAAATATCAGCAGTTGTAAGAACTGAGAACTTAAGCTTATTTATAATTTCAGTTACTAAAAACAATTACAACAGTCAATGTAAACAATAACAATGAGTTTTATTTTTGTTTTATTTTACTTCCATGGACATGTTGACATCAAAATATAATAAAAATATGTCCATATAGCAAGTACACTTTGCACATCAGAGGAAAATATTTAAGATTGAAGTATAATTCTTTTATGGTTGGTTCATTAGTAACAGAAGCGTAATGGATGCTTGTATACAGGACATGCATGTCTTCACTTGATATGAATTGTTAATAAGAGTTTTGGGAAGCACTTCACATGTAAAAGGCTTTGAAGGACTGAAGAGCACCATTAGTAATGAGTTCTTACTCTTCGTTTCAAGATTCCTCTGCAGACATTCAGTAGACACGGCCATATTGATGTGACGGTGGACACGCCAGCCATTCCCACATTAGCGGATGTGCTTTGGCTGGTGGAGGATGAAGGGGACAGCCACACTAAATTCAGGTAGTCGCACATCAGAAGCCATATTATGAACACAACTGTCTGGTGTTTATTAATAGCTCACTAATAGGTGTTTATTAATAGCTCACTGACAGCATCTGTATGAGATTGCTTTATATACTTCTGAACAGAAGTTACACCTGTTATGAGATTTCTGTATGAGGTATTTTTATAAGTTTTGGTTTATGGAGAAAGTTCAGTGTCATCACATCTTACCATGTTTATAACAGGAATGTCGTCCCGTTGAGGAAAGCTTTTGAGATTCCCTCATTAGGGTCTGAACGTCCATTGTCCGTGTCTGTCCCGGCTCAGAGGGGAGGCAGGGTGCTGGGACAGGGCACCCAGCCAGAGGCCCTGCAGAAGATCTCCGCTCTGGAAGAGGAACTGCAGAGACTGCAAGCACAGATTGCTATGATAGTCACAGCTCCAGCAGGTAACATATGCTATGAATTTCTATAACTGACAGATTGATTGAAATTCTGCAAAAGCAAAGGTCTCATAAAATGAAAAGGCTGTCTGTGGGGGCAGCCAATTATTTTTAGGCACAAACCCAGCTTCACAGAGATCACGTTGTACATTTTAAGAAATATACTTTGTTGATTTCTGCATAGAGTGCTTAAAGGAGTCAAAAAGTTAGAAAGTCTGGTGATGTTCTGGTTCTTAACCATTTTCATTTCATTTTCTCATCTGTCTCTCAGGCCCTTACGTTTTTCCAGCTGATCCTGGCACTCCATGCTCTACTCCTCTTCCATTTCCTGTCCTCATCTCCACTCCTGTCTGTCCTCCGCTGCCACCTCCACCTCCACCACCACTTCCTCCTCCAGCTACGGGCAGCTGCGTGGAGGTGTCCGTGTCAGATGTGATTCGACAAAGACAGGCATCAAAAAGAGAAAAGCTTGCACAGTGTGATCCATCTGTGTGTACAGCACCTGCTGCCCTGCCCTCCATGTTAGTGGTGCTGAAAGACCTGAATCAAGTCAAACTGCGCTCTGTGGAGAGGTATGGATTTAACGTGCTCAAACTTTAAGCACAGCTGCGTTTTAAGTTCAGTACTGAGTATGCATTTGTATTTGTAGATCTCCAGGTGGAACTCCAGTAAGGAGACGGAGAAGTAAGGGTGTAGCATGTTCATCTGATCCGGCAGCTCTTATCGCTGAAGCACTGAAAAGGAAGTTTGCACACAAACACAGGAACGATTCGTTTGGTAAAGAGAACTGCTCAGCTGAACCCTCACCTTTCAGCAGTCCAGATACTCCCAGGGTAGGTTAACTCTTTTTTTTTTTTTTTTTCCCCCCCTGTATAATTAGTTTTTTTTTAAATCCAATCAGACTGCAAAGTACTCAATGCTTAATGATAAAAAAAAAAAAACAATCGCCACACCAAACTTTTTCCCCATTAGTAGGGCTGCATAATGAATAGAAACAAAACCAAAACCACAGTATGACATAATGCGATTATTAACTTGCAAAGGCTGTGAATTAATTAAATAAATATATGTGCTGCATGTTTCAGAGTGAAGCGTGGCACTGTGTTCTTTTTTAGAGACCGGCCAGTGATCGGAATCGGCTGATTTTTCGGATTACCGGCCCGGATCGGTGACCGGCCAGTCAGTCTCACGTCTTGCAGTTTCCGAGCCGATCCTTTTATTGCCAGCGGCGCAGGCAATGACGTCACAGTCACGCGCACACTCACAGTTGCGTGTAAACATGTCGTTTTGCGTGAGAATGATTCTAGGCTAATTTTAATTGCATTCAGTGTAAACGGCGACTGATAATGTACTCATGTCGTGCCAGATGAGGCTTGCACAGCCTGAGTGAGTGTGTGAGAGAGACAGCACACACAAAGTAACTCACAGAAATTTATAGATGCATACTGCGGTAGAAAAATAAGATATTTACAAAATATGATTTAGGTAAACAACATTATACGGCCATGATGTTTCCCCGAATATCAATGTCAACACGATTGCAATGTGACACTGATTTTATACAATAGTATTTCAATAAACAAGAAGTTAAAATGAAGTGACTTAGATTTTAGACAAAATGTTGACTGTTTTTGTTCAATTTTGCTGATGAAAATAGTTCCGATCAAAGCCACAACATAACTGTTGTGTGTCTCTGAGCAACACACAGCCAGTGTTGCCAGATTGGATGGATGATTTCCAGCCCAAAAGCTCACAAAAACCCGCCCAAAATTTAACTGTCAAAATAATGTGATGGAATATGTAAATCAAGGTTGATAAGGGCCAAGGGCCAACTCCTTAAAACAAAATAATGTTGACAAAATAATTTATATAAAGTTAGATACATTTCCCAGGTAAACGGATCGAATCGGGGCAAATAGCCTACATTAAAGGGAATTAGGCTACCGAACATGAATAAAATATTCAAGCAGACACTGTCAAAACGGCAATCAAGAAATTTATCATTTTCAATGTCAGCAGTCAGAATAATCCAATTTAAATGCAAAAAGTGCCCAATATAAGTGATAGGAAAAAGCAACGTAATTTGCAGGTATTTCACACTCGTTCATGCACACACCATGACAGTCAAAACTGTCATTCATTAATACATACTGAATTATAATCCGACAATTAAAAAAAAAAAAAAAACAACAACAATGCGCTTACCTTTGTGTCGCTCTTTAATTTTACACAGAACTGGAAGCCTCTTGTTAAGTTCATATTGTAGAACATATTACAGAACTTTGCACAGTCAAAACTAATCAAGTCTAGCAGTTTTCAAGGATTTATCAATCTGGACCGTTTAAAAGATAAACATTCAGGAACCGGTATCGAAGTCAAGGTATCGGTATCGATATCGAAAAATTTTTAACGATACCCAGCCCTAGTATGGTGAGGGGCGTAACATTTCCGTCTCACGCTTGAGGTATTCGGCCAATCACAACGCATTGGATAGCTGGCCAATCACAGCTCACCTCGCTTTTTCAGACCGATGAGCTTTGTAAAAATTGACGCGTTTCAGAAAGGCGGGGCATAGAGGAGAAACAATAATGTACAGTATGTGGAAAATAATGTGTTTTTTGAACCTTAAACCGCATAAACACATTTCATTACACCAAATACACAAAATAATGTTCTTTTTAGCAACATCATATGACCCCTTTAAGTGAATTATATGGCAATAATCAGCAATATGCTTTCACACAAATAACTTTATTTTTGAATGTTTCAATACGTTGACACAAATGACATATTTGAATTTTTCATTGATACAACATGGCACTGAATTGTTAGAAAAGAAATGTGTATAGACGTTATTGCTTATAATATTATTATTGCTTTTAATAATTACATAAAAACTAGAGAAAATCCGATCAAAACACAGTTCTCTCATGTTGACTTTTTTTTTTGTGAAAAAGCAGATGTTTGATCTTTATCTTTGTGTTGTTGTGCATGTACACACACACACGTTACTGTTGCTTCCGAGTAGTAACTTCCTTAGATTATAGATAAGTAAATTTATTGCAGATTTTAGAGGTGGGATTGGGGTTTCTGAGTGCCATAAAAAAAACATGATAACCCAACCTGGGAAACCGATGTTAAACTGGCTGGGAGCAGGATTCAGGTTGGATTTTTGACCCTTCAGAGTGCAGTAATAGCAGAGAAAATCTCATTTGAACCACTAGGGGAATATATCTGTATAAAAATTTCATAGTGTTACATTTGGACCAGCAGAGGGCGACTTTTCATTACTGTGTCCATGAGTGCAACAGTCACGTTAAAGCTGTGCAAACTAGCCACCTCAGCATTGACTGAACACATTTCCTAACACTATCTAAACAGTCTATGAATATTAAATCAGATTTTAAAAAAAATATTCCTATTAAAAGCATTTATGGGCATTAATGATTCATTTTGGAGCTCTTTTTTTGCTTGGATATTGGTATGCCTTTTTGAAATACTTGTGGTCTTCAGCTTCTAATGAGATTTTCTTCCCCACTTTCCAAATCTTTGCCACACCAGTGTTTGGTTTCTAGCACTTACACAATACTTAGACAGAACCTTTGACGTTTTGCTATAAAGTTTAATTGCAAATGCAGTTTAATGAGAATGCATTGTGTGCTTTTGCATTGAATGCATTGTGACTTTAGTGTTGTATTGGTTTACAGATTCTCCCTCACACCAGACGCAGCCAGGGACGCATTCACCTTTGACCCTCAACCTTAACGTCTTTCAGGAACAAAGTTGTGTCATGGACTGACATGATGGCCATTTTTCTTTTTAATGTTGGTTGAACTGTCTCTTTTTCTCTTTCCCCTTTCTCTCTGAATTAATCACATGGGCCTCCATCTGAGTACACTGAGCATGGTTTTGAGATTTTTGTGCAGACATAATTTTTTTGTATGTACAGATTTTTATTTGTAAATATTATGTACAACAGACTTCTTAATTGTGAACGACTAATTACGAGTATTGATACAGGATGGCAGTAATTATCTCATAGGATGCTACAAGTTAATTTCTTTCAGCTACCAATGTAGTATATAAATAAGGTCTACTCTGATCTATGCAATGCTTCTTTTTTATACAGGTTTATTTTATTTTATTTAAAGCCTAGTTGGGCTAACAAAAATTCTCAGAACAAAATATCAGTCTTTTAGTTTCGAAAAATGGTACTTGGTTTGCTAATAATGTGTTCATCCATGTTTCTCATGTGTTATCATCCTCTTCTACAAAGTGCTAAAGCAGTATCACACTCAAAAGCAATAAACAAGTTATATGCCTTTCAAATGTGTTCAAAGTGTGCACTATTGCATAATCCAGTTTATTATACAGCTCTCTGGAATACTTGATTCTGACTGGTTAGTCGCACCATAAAGCAGTCTGATGTCCCGATAATCGCCGTTTTCCATGACAGTGTTATATGTATCATGCATACATGTATACACTTGACTTGACTCTCTATTCTATTTCTATTCTACCTACTTGTTTTCTTTAATTAAAAAAAAACAACAACTACAAAGACACTAACAACTGACCCTCTAACACTAGTCAAGTCAAGTCAAATCACCTTTATTTATATAGCGCTTTTAACAATACAGATTGTGTCAAAGCAACTGTACAGCATTAATTAGGAAAATATTGTGTCAATAATGCAAAATGATAATAGTAAACACTCAATTTTTAGTTAAAGGCAGTACATCATTGAATTCAGGGTTGTCATCATCCAGTTCAGTTCAGTTTAAATAGTGTCTGTGCAATCAAGTCGACAATATCACTGGAAATTAAGTGTCCCCAACTAAGTAATGTCCTAATTAATGAAGCCTAAAAATCCTTTTAACGGATTTGAATATTAGAAATGTGTTAGTGTGTTATGTGTAAGCCAGGTTGAAGAGATGGGTCTTTAATCTAGATTTAAACTGACAGAGTGTGTCTGCCTCCCGAACAGTGTTAGGTAGGTTATTCCAGAGTTAGGATCTGCCACCTGCAGTTGATTTTGATATTCTAGGTATTATCAAATTGCCAGAGTTTTGAGAACGCAGTGGACGTGGGGGACTATAATGCAATAAGAGCTTGTTCAAATGCTGAGGTGCTAAACCATTCAGGTCTTTATAAGTAATAAGCAAGAGGTTGAATGCAGCACTAATAGAGAGATACAACCACGATCAGATGATAAGAGCAGGTCATTTGTAACTCTTAATGAGAGCAGTCTCCGTACTATGATACATACGGTCTAAAAATCCTGACTGGAAATCCTCACAGATACCATTTTTCTCCAAGAAGGAATATAATTGTGAGGATACTAGCACTCTCAATTCTATTTCTATTCTATCTACTTGTTTTTTTTTTTTTTATTAAAAAAATTATAATATTAATATCTGACCCTCTAATACTAGCACTATCTGATCTATTTCTACTTTTCTTTTTATTTATTTAAATAAAAACTTGACCCTCTAACACTAGCACTCTTTATTAATTATCGCAAAAATAAATCCTGACAGGGTCCTGTATCACCCTGAAAGAGTATATTTGCAATGATATGTTTCCGGCTAAGTTATTTCAACACATTTTTCAGTAATAATTTATTTAATATTTTTAACATCTAATTTAGCAGTTAACAAAAAATGTAAAATATATTTTTTAATTCAGTAAAAAAAATCAATTCTGTAGTAAAAGTATTATTATTGATTACTGATTATTAAGAGGCACACTTACCATATAAAGATATAGCAGCATTAACACAGACAAAAAGGGCATTAAATGCTTTAAAACTACTGATGGTTGCATGCATTTGCAAACTTTTTTTGTGTGTGAAACAGTGTGGATGTGCACTGCGTGTACCTTTGACCCTGACCTAACAACCTCCACACACCAGCATGTGTTTACACTGTTGTTGTCAGGCCCAGTGTATGTATGTGTGGGTGGATGCTTGTTTGATGGAATAATTGCAACTTGTTGTGTCTGTAAACCACATCCTTCCAATCACTAAAGGTTATCATGGAGAGGATATGCTGGTCTACCGAGACAGGAAATGGTTACACGCTGAAAATCTGATTGATCCTTTGCTTCCGTCAGATGTGTTGTGATGTTGGCCTGACAGGAGGGTGTTCAGAGTGGAATATTGTAGTGTAAAGTCTCTCCCCCACTGCTATATCTGGCATATGCTTTCTATTTTTGTTTATCTTCAGAAATGCACCTGCTCTAATGAGAAACTTGTGGACTAAATTTATTACCCCCACGTTTCCGTAACACATGTTTGTTTGTTCTTAAGGCTGACAGAATTTAGCAGGAGGGTGATAATGATGATGTTTTTTCCCCTCCCCTTTTCTTTTCGTCAGTACCGCAAATAAAATGTCACTGCTACCAGACAGGAAATACGTTTTCCCAGGCCCTGTGATTTTTGACCGTAGCCCGCTTCTGTTGGCTGATCATTTTGTGGATGGCTATTTGCTTTCCCTCTTAAGGTTTTGAACAATGTAAGATGGTTTGAGCATTTGGAAGGAAAAAAAATTCTGGTTTCATTATTTCCAAATTCAAAAGTTGGCACAAACCTGTTGAATTGTTGGCTTTTAATTGTGTTTTTAGGCCATAAATTTGCAACCGTACTACTAAAACTTGCCAAAAGAATGATAAACAGATTTTTACACTTTGAAAATGTATATTTCTCTTCCAGACACTAATGGATATTTTTGTTTATTAATACCTGCTTCTGATTAGCAATAGCATAACTGACACGGCTTTGATGCATACTGAAGTCTATTTTTTTTATTCACCATCAGGATTTTACATTAAGGGAACATGCATATTTTAATATATTTTTGCAAAAAAAAATTTGATTTATTTTTTTAAATAATATTTTTTGATTTTTTCCAGTTTTTATTCAGTTAAATATTCACTTAAACTGTCTCTGTAATGAATTTTTAAAATACCAATAAGTGCATATTCCTTATTAATATAAGCTGTCAACTGCACGTATCATAATAAAAAAGGTAAAGAGTAAGTACAGGCTCTGTTACATGAAGGTTCTGTGTTTGAAGACGAACTTTATGAACAAATATGAGTCAAAGAACCACTTGAGGGCGCTTAAGGATTGCCGTCATCCTGCAATCAGAACTAACGCTGCAGAAACTGATATGTAACTGATGAACAGGACCACTTTACAGAGAAAGAGAAAACCTACAGTGCAGAGATGTGATAAGAGTGGGGAAAAAAGAGGCAAGGGTGAGGCCGCGAAAGTTCATGAGTTGGTGTCATTTTGAATTTGCATACTTGTATGAACTTATTTGCAATGCAAAGTCAAGCCAAAGATTTAAAGGAACACTGCAATGTGATTGGCTGCTCGTTTGGTCACCTGACACACTCTTTGCTCACTACTTTGAACATTTACCTATTTACCTGGGAGAAGAATTCCTTGTGGAGTGTATCCACAGATCAATTTGCAGATTTTTGTTGTTGTGTTTGTGTGTGTTCCAGAGGCGTTTTCCGTGTTTGAAAAACATGTGCAGGCCATGCTATTGACAAGAAGCTAAACAGCCGAATTGTAGGGGTCAAATTAAGGTATTTACAACACTACAAAGCAACTGTACCTCAGACCTTGATGAAAACTTATATATATTCACTATATTAGTGGGCCAACATTAATTTTTAGGGTTTTGAGGTTACAAAAGTTCATGTGACTTTTGACTTGCATTGTTAAGGAGCTCAGACTACATGCAAGTTTTAGCAGGAAGTGCAAATTACATGTTTAAAGTCATTGAACATAATCTGTTTTTATGTGTGCATGTTACACAAGCACTATTTACACTCAACACAAAGCCCCATGAGGCCCATTGTGACTGGTATGACCCTATTTGCACTCACACCGTTTGTCAGGACTGCACTTGACTAATTCAGTTCTCTAGAATTAAATTCATTTTAACGTTAACAACACACGAATGTACTGTATAAGCATTATGTGTGCACAGTGTGCGTGTATAACCTCCTTTCTGGCCTAGGCTTGGTACTTTCCCAGTGAGAGTCATTTGAGTTCTTAAATGAGTAAGCTGTTGATTCTGGGAAGAAAAGGGTTAATTTTTCACTGCCCCCATCTCTTTTTCTCTCCTTTTCTCTTCCCTCTCTCTTTCTTCCTGTCACTCTCTTCCTGCTCTCCTTTTCTTTCTGTTTCGTTTGGCAACTCTCTGTACTTCATTTAGACTTTTATATTAACTACGCACATCTTGCCCTCTGACACACATACGTGTGTTTTATTTGTGGATAGTGGTTATGCGTGTGTTTAAATACTACTTTGACTACTTTGTGCTTTTCACAGTCTCATGTATTTTTATTAGCCCCCATAAACAGAGGAAAACACACCTGTCTCTATCACCTGCTCTTATTGCAATCATAAACATTACAAATAGGCGTGTGTAAGAAAGAGAGAGTGGCTTTTTGTTAGTTAGCAGGCCGCTAAGTGTCATGGGTCAGCTGCTCTGTGTGTGTGATTTCCACACAAGCAGAGAGATGATAAATAGAAAGAAAAGGTGTTTCAATAAGTTGAACCTGTAGGATGAGTTGAGCTAGTTTGTCTGCTTTTCAGCTGTCTGCTTTAATTATTGTATTTTTGGGTTTAGTTAAAGGCAAATATTAGGTCACAAACAATACAATCTCCTTCCGTGAGTACATACTTGACTCACCGTGACTTAATGAGATGACTTAAAAAGTTACCATGATTATGAAAACATTTGATGTTTCAGTACATTTGTTTCACAGAGGTTCATGATGCAAATGTGTGGCATTACACTGAGCTGTAATGTTCAGATATCAGCTTAAAAGAGGTTGGTTCCACTGAACATTGTTTGAGAATTTTGACCAGCAACATGGTCAGCCAATAGAGTGCAGCTGGGTTCTGGAAGTACAAATCACATAAATGTTCTCCATAGGAGAATACATTTTTTATTGATAACTTATAAACCGTTAAAGATAGGCCCATTGTGAGCTGTGAGGTTGTTAATCGATGGTAAATACTTTTGTTGAAGCCATCAGCCCACATTATTTCAACTTACTTTTTACATAATCATGTTTAACAGCAAAATTCCTACAGTGAGAAACTACATTA